GTTTTTTTTTCTTTTTTGCAGACAAGTCTCACTCTGCCCCCAGGCGGAGTGGGCAATGCAACCTCCCCGCCTCCCAGGTTCAAGTGATTCTCACCCTGCCCTCAGCCTCCCGGTGAGCTGGGGATTACAAGGAGCCGTACCCCGACGGCCTAGGCCTAATTTTTGTATTTTAAGTACAGACGGGGTTCACCCTGTTGGCCAGGCGGGTCTCGAACTTCTGACTCAGGTGATCTGCCTGCCCTCAGCCTCCCAAAGTGCTGGGATTACAGGTGTGGCCACCGTGCTGGCCAACTTCTTTTTTAAAACTGTAATTAGCCATCCTGGCTAACACGGTGAAACCCCCGTCTCTATTAAAAAATACAAAAAATAGCCGGGTGATGGGCGGGCGCCTGTAGTCCCAGCTGACTCGGAGGCTGAGGCAGGAGAACGGCGTGCGAACCCGGAGGCGGAGCTGCCAGTGAGCCGAGATCCCGGCCACTCGCCACTCCAGCCCTGGGCAGCAGAGCAAGACTCCGTCTCAAAAAAAAAAAAAAAAAAAAAAAAAAAAAAAAAAATGTATTAGCACAGAGACACCATGTGTTTCGGGGAAGGCAAATGTCACTAAACAGAAATATCCTTCAGAAGAGCCAGACGGAAATGTCCATGGGGAAAAACAGCAAGAATTATAGCTCCTTGTTGGGGAATTATTAATATTCCTCTTGGTTGCCAGAAGGGACCCACTGACGATTCACACCCAGTATAGATTCCACAGCCAGTGGTGGTACAAATGCTTGTTGTGTGGAAAATCTGAAATTTTCAAAGCATGCTCTCTCCTTTCCTTTCCTGCCATCAGCAAAAATAAAACTTTATGGTCCTTCAATTCAGATCCTGCTGGACCGGTGGCAACACCCTTCCCTTCCTCACACGGCTCAAGCCGTGTCTTTTCAGTGACAATGGAGATGGGGGATACTCCAGAGGACCAGGAGCTACTTTTAAAACTGGTGAATCTCTTTAAAATTCTGAAAGGTTCATTAAATGTCCCTCCAAAATCAAGTGTCTTCTGTGAAAGTGAGTTAACATCCTGTTTAACTGGGTAATATATCCATCATCCTCCTCTAAACTTTTCTGTCAGATAATCAATAAGGACTTCCAGGATAGGCAAGAACTCCCTTAAAAGAAGAGAAAAAAGAGGCCAGAGATGGGGTGGCTCACGCGCCTGTAATTCCCCACACTTTGGGAGGCTGAGGCAGGTGATTCAGTCTGAGTCAGAGTTCGAAGCTAGCCTGGCCTACAATGGTGAAACCCCGTCTCTACCTAAAAAAGACCAAAAACATAGAAAGCATCCGTGGCGGCCCTATAATCCCAGCGTAACTCAGGCAGCTGAGGCAGGGGGAATTGCTGAAACCCGGAAGGCCAGAGGTTCAGTCGAGCCGAGAGTCACGCCATTCACTCCCACCTGGGCAACAGAAGGCAAAACTCGTCTTCAAAAAAAACAAAAAAGAACTTCCTTGGTTTTGTAGTATTCTCCTTTTTCGTAGGCCAATAAATAAGGGAAGCTGTATGCCATTCCTGGTGCCATCTAATGATCTGTCTGAAGATGTTTTGTTGTTTTATTATTGTTCTTGTTTTGAAGAGAGTCTCGCTCTGTTGCCCACACTGGAGTGCTGTGGCCATGGATCCTCTGTCCTACTGCAACCTCCGCCCATCACTGGGTATAAGATTCTCCTGCCTCCAAGCTTCCCAATTAGCTTGGGATTACAGCGCACGCCACCATGTCCCAGCCCATAAAAAAAAAAAAAAAAAAAAAAAAAAAAAAAAAACTGTATTAGCACAGAGAACACCATGTTGTTTCGGGGAAGGGCAAATGTCACTAACAGAATATCTCAGAAGCCAGACTGAAATTTCCATGGGGAAAAACAAGATTTAGCTTCCTTGGTTTGGGGAATATTAATATTCCTCTTGGTTGCCAGAAGGGACCCACTGACATTCACACCCAGTATGATTCACAGCCAGTGTGGTACAAATGCTTGTGATGTGGAAAAATCTGAAAAATTTTCAGATGCTCTTCTCCTTTCCTTTCTGCCATCAGCATAAACCTTATGTCCTTCAATTCAGACCTGCTGGGACCCGGTGGCACACCCTTCCCTTCCTCACAGGCTTCAAACCGTGTCTTTTCAGTGACATGGAGATGGGGATCCTCAGAGGGACCAGGAGCTACTTTTAAAACTGTGAATCTTTAAATTCTGAAGGCTTCATTAAATGTCCTCAAAATCAAGGTCTTCTTGTGAAAGGAGTTAACATCCATGTTAACTGGGAATTATCCATCATCTCTCCTAACTTTTCCTGTTCAGATAATCAAATAAGGACTTCCAGGAGTAGGCAAGAACTTTAAAAAGAAGAAGAAAAAAAGAGGCCAGGTGGGGTGGCTCACGCCTGTAATCCCAACACTTTGGGAGGCTGAGGCAGGTGGATCAGCTGAAGTCAGAAGTTCGAGACTAGCCTGGCCAACATGGTGAAACCCCGTCTCTACTAAAAATACCAAAAAATTAGACAAGCATCGTGGCGGGCACCTATAATCCCAGCTACTCAGGCAGCTGAGGCAGGGGAATTGCTTGAACCCGGAAGGCAGAGGTTGCAGTGAGCCGAGATCACGCCATTGCACTCCCACCTGGGCAACAAGAGCAAAACTCTGTCTCAAAAAAAAAAAAAAGAAAGACTTCCTTGGGTTTTGTAGTATTCTCTTTTTCGTAGGCCATGAAATAAGGGAAGCTGTATGCCATTCCTGGTGGCCATCTATGATCTGTCTGAAGTATGTTTTTGTTGTTTTTTATTATTGTTCTTGTTTTTGAGAGAGAGTCTCGCTCTGTTGCCCACACTGGAGTGCTGTGGCATGATCTCTGCTCACTGCAACCTCCGCCTCCTGGGTATAAACGATTCTCCTGCCTCAGCTTCCCAATTAGCTGGGATTACAGGCGCACGCCACCATGCCCAGCTAATATTTTATTTTTAGTTTTAGTAGGGATGGGGTTTCACCATGTTGGCTGGGCTGGTCTCAAACTCCTGACCTCAAGTGATCCACCCACCTCGGCCTCCCAAAGTGCTGAGATTACAGGCATGAGCCACCATGCCTGGCCAAATATCATGATTGCTAATGAAAAGTGACCTTAGGCGGCCGGGTGCCGCCTGATAGATAATAGATAGATAAAGTCAGTATTCTTTTTTTTTTTTTTTCCCCTCAGGATGGAGTCTCGCTCTGTTGCCAGGCTGGAGTGCAGTGGCACGATCTCGGCTCACTGCAACCTCCACCTCCTGGGTTCAAGCAGTTCTCCTCCCTCAGCCTCCCAAGTAGCTGGGACCACAGGTGTGTGCCACCACACCCAGCTAATTTTTTGTATTTTTAGTAGAGACAGGGTTTCACCATGTTGGCCAGGCTCATCTCGAACTCCTGGCCTCAAGTGATCTGCCTGCCTCAGCCTCCCAAATTGCTGGGATTACAGGCATGAGCCACTGCGCATGGCCGAAAATTGACTTTAATGACATAGATACAATGTGGAGAGATAAAGAATATGAATCACTGGCTTGGCTAAAATATTCCTGGGCTCTGATTCCGTGTCTTATCGGACAACCTTCGGGGGGTTGATTTGAGCTCTTGAGTGTCCTCATGACAAGAAGAGAAAGCTTTAAACAGTGAGCATGAAGGTTTATTTGTGAACACTGACAATCAAATTCTAAAACTTATATGGAAATACAAAGGATCTAGAAAGCCAAAGCAATCTTAAAGAATAGTATCGGAAGGTTTACACTACCAGGTATCAACAGTATTGGTGCCACGAGAAACAGACCAAGCAAACGAACACAGAGCACAGAACCAAAGCCACGTCCTCAGTCACATGATGAACACCACGGACGTCACTGCAGTTACTGTGGGAAAGGCCAGTCTTCTCTGTGAATGGTGCTGAGTCAATTTGGCATTTCTGTCAAAAAAAAAAAAACAACAAAATATCATAAACAAAAATTAACTTAAAATGGAGCAGAGACCTAAATGTAAAGCTAAAACTATGAAACTTCTAGAATAAAAAGGAGAAAATCTTAGTAACTTTATATTTGGCAGAGTTCATAAATATGACACAAAAAAACGTGAAAAAGAAAAACTTGACAAATTGGACATCGTCAAAACTAAAAACTTTTGCCCTAAAAGGCAAGCCACAGACTGGGAAGAAATATTTGCAAAACAGGGCCGGGCGCGGTGGCTCAAGCCTGTAATCCCAGCACTTTGGGAGGCCGAGACAGGTGGATCACGAGATCAGGAGATCGAGACCATCCTGGCTAACCTGGTGAAACCCCGTCTCTACTAAAAAATACAAAAAATTAGCCGGGTGAGGTGGCGAGCACCTGTAGTCCCAGCTACTCGGGAGGCTGAGGCAGGAGAATGGCGTGAACCCGGGAGGCGGAGCTTGCAGTGAGCTGAGATCCGGCCACTGCACTCCAGCCTGGGCGACAGAGCGAGACTCTGTCTCAAAAAAAAAAAAAAAAAAAAAAGAAATATTTGCAAAACATATCCAACAAAGGATTTTATCTAGAATGTAAAAATTGCAGGCTGGGGTTGGGCATGGTGGCTCATGCCTGTAATCCCAGCAATTTGGGAGGCCGAGATGGGCGGATCACCTAAGGTCGGGAGTTCGAGACCAGCCTGACCAACATGGAGAAACGCTGTCTCTACTAAAAATAAAAAAATTAGCCAGCCTGTAATCCCAGCAACTTAGGAGGCTCTGAGGCAGGAGAATACCTTGAACCCAGGGGGCAGAGGTTGTGGTGAGCCGAGATTGTACCATTGCACTCCAGTCTGGGCAACAAGAGCAAAATTCCATCTCAATAAAAAGGCCGGGCACGGTGGCTCACGCCTGTAATCCCAGCACTTTGGGAAGCCAAGGCGAGCAGATCACAAGGTCAGGAGATGGAGACCATCCTGGCTAACACGCTGAAACCCAGTCTCTACTAAAAATACAAAAAATTAGCCAGGTGTGGTGGCGGGCGCCTGTAGTCCCAGCTACTCGGGAGGCTGAGGCAGGAGAATGGCGTGAACCTGGGAGGCGGGGCTTACAGTGAGCCGAGATAGCACTACTCCACTGCACTCCAGCCTGGGCTACAGAGGGAGACTCCATCTCAAAAACAAAAACAAAAACAAAAACAGAAACTGCAGGCTGGGTGCGGTGGCTCATGCCTGTATAGCCAGACCTTTGGGAGGCCAAGGCAGACGGATTACCTGATGTCAGGAGTTCAAGACCAGCCTGAAGAATATGGCAAAACCCTGTCTCTACTGAAGATACAAAATTAGCTGGGCATGGTGGCAGGCGCCTATAGTCCCAGCTACTCAGGAGGCTGAGGCAGGAGAACTGCTTGAATCCCGGAGCCGGAAGTTGCAGTGAGCCACGCATCGCACTCCAACCTGGGCAACAAGAGCGAAACTGTCTCAAACAGAAAAACAAACAAACAAAAACTGCAATTTGAGCAGGCATAGTGGCTCATGCCTGTAATCCCAGCACTTTGGGAGGCTGAGGCAGGCACATTGCTTGAGCCCAGGAGTTCTAGCCCAGGAGTTTTGCAACATGGCAAAAGCCCACCTCCACTAAAAAATACAAAAGTTAGCAGGCTGTGGTGGTGCCTGCCTGCAGTCCCAGCTACTTGGGAGGCACGGTGGGAGGATCACCAGAGCCTGGGCAGGTCAGGGCTGTGGTAAGCCATGATCACACCACTGGACTCCAGCCGGGTGACAGTGAGACCCTGTCTCAGAACAACAACAACAAGAAAAACTGCAGTCATGCCTGTATACCCAGACCTTTGGGAGGCCAAGGCGGACGGATTACCTGAGGTCAGAAGTTCAAGACCAGCCTGACCAATGTGGCAAAACACTATCCTTACTAAAAATACAAAATTAGCTGGGCATGGTGGCAGGCACCTGTAGTCCCAGCTACTCAGGAGGCTGAGGCAAGAGAATTGCTTGAATCCCAGAGCCGGAAGTTGCAGTGAGCTGCTGGAAGTTGCAGTGAGCTTCGTATTGCACTCCAACTTGGGCAACAGGAGCGTTAAGACAAGAGTGTTAAGACAAACAATCCAATTTTTAAAATAGGCAGAAAGACCTGAACCACTGAAAAAAAAAAAAAAAAAAGATGGCCAGGCTTGGTGACTCACACCTGTAATCCCAGCACATTGGGAGGCCGTGGCAGGCAGATCACCTGAGGTCAGGAGTTCAAGACCAGCCTGGCCAACATGGTGAAACCTCATCTCTACTAAAAATACAGAAATTAGCTGGGTGTGGTGGCATGTGCCTGTAATCCCAGCTACTTGGGAGGCTGAGACAGGAGAATCACTTGAACCCAGGAGGCGGAGGTTACAGTGAGTCAAGATCGTGCCACTGTACTCCAGCCTGGTGACAGAGCAAGACTTCGTCTCAAAAAAAAAAAAAAAAAAGACTTGAACAACCACTTCATTAAAATAGATAACAAATACCCACATGGAAAGATGCTTAATAGCATTAGCTGTTAGAGAAATGCAAATTAAAACCTCAATTTATTAAGGATGAGGCCGGGCGCAATGACTCACATCTGTAATCCCAGCATTCTGGGAGGTCAAGGCAGACAGATCACCTGAGGTCAGGAGTTTGAGACCAGCCTGGCAAACATGGTGAAAATCCATCTCTACTAAAATACAAAAATTGGGCCAGGCACAGTGGCTCACGCCTATAATCCCAACACTTTGAGAGGCCAGGGCAAGTGGATCACCTGAGGTCTGGAGTTTGAGACCAGCCTTGCCAACATGGTGAAACCCCATCTCTACTAAAAGTATAAAAATTAGCCAGGCGTGGTGGCAGGTGCCTGTAATTCCAGCTACTTGGGAGGCTGAGGCAGGAGAATCTCTTGAACCCAGCAGGCAGAGGTTTCAGTGAGCCGAGATCATGCCATTGCACTCCAGCCTGGGCAACAACAGCGAAACTCCATCTCAAAAAAAAAAAAAAAGATATAAAAATTAGCCAGGCATAGTGGCAGGTGCCTGTAATCCCACATACTCAGGAGGCTGAGGCAGAAGAATCGCTTGAACCCGGGAAGCAGAGGTTGCGGTGACCCAAGGCTGCGCCACTGCACTCCAGCCTGAGTGACAGGACGAGACTCTGCCTCCAAAAATTAAATAAGTAAATAAACAGATTTATTAAGGCTGGGTACAGTGGCTCAAGCCTATAATCCCAGCACTTAAAAGGAGGCAGAGGCGGATGGATCACTTGAGGTCAGGAGTTCAAGACCAGCCTGACCAACATGGTGAAACCCCATCTCTAGTTAAAAAAAAAAAAAAAATTAGCCAGGTGTGCACACGCCTGTAATCCCACTTACTTGGGAGGCTGAGGCAGGAGAATCGCTTGAACCCAGGAGGCGCAGGTTGCAGTGAGTCGAGATCACACCACTGCACTCCAGCCTCGGCAACAAAAGCGAAACTCCATCTCAAAAAATAAATAGACAAATAAAATATATTAATTAAGGATGAGCTTGTTAAAAATTTAAAAGAACAACAACAAAACAGCAAAAACCCCACAATTTCGACACGCTACCACTATGGCTAAAATTAAAAAGGCTTGGCAAGGCAGGGTGGCTCAAGCCTGTAATCCCAACACTTTGGGAGGCCGAGGCAGGTGGATCACGAGGTCAGGAGATCGAGCCCATCCTGGCTAACATGGTGAAACCCTGTCTCTACTAAAAATACAAAAAAATTAGCCAGGTGTGGTGGCAGGCACCTGCAGTCCCACCTACTTAGGAGGCTGAGGCAGGAGAATGGCGTGAACCCAGGAGATGGAGCTTGCAGTGAGCTGAGATCGCGCCACTGCACTGCAGCCTGGACAACAGAGCGAGACTCCGTCTCAAAAAAAAGGGCTTACTAGCTGGGTCCCGTGGCTCCTGCCTGTAATCCTAGCACTTCGGGAGGCCCAGAGGCCCAGGTGGAAGGATCCCTTGAGCCCAGGAGTTTGAGACCAGCCTAGGCACCACGGTGAGACCCTGTCTCACAAAACATCATTACCACCTTCAATTAAGCAAATTTTTTAAAAATGAAGGTTTACCAAACTAAGTGTCGGCCAGGCTACACAGAAACAGAAACTTTCACTCACTGTTAGTGGCTTAATAAAAAGGTAAACATGCACCTGCCATATGACCCAGCCATTCCATTCCTGGGGGTTTACTTAAGAGAAGTGAAAGCATATGTCCACATAAAGATGAACAAAAATGTTCAGAGCAGTTTTATTTGCAGTAGCCCCCAAACTGGAAACAACCCAAATGTGCATCAACAGCTGAATGGCAAAACAAATTTTGTGGTGTTTCCATACAATGAAATACTACTCAGCAATAAAAAGTAATGCATTGTTAATAAATGCAACAACATGGATAAATCTTAAAATAATTATGTGGTGAGAAGCCAATGCCAAAAAAATCTATACTGAGGCCAGGCACGGTGACGCATGCCTATAATTCCAGCAGTTTGGGCAGCCAAGGCGGGCGGATCACTGAAGGCCAGGAGTTTGAGACCAGCCTGGTGAACATGGTGAACCCCATCTCTACTAAAAATATAAAAGTTAGCTGGGTGTGGTGGTGTGCGCCTGTAATCCCAGCTACTTGGGAGGCTGAGACAGGAGAATCACTTGAACCTGGGTGGCAGAGGTTGCAGTGAGCTGAGATCGCACCACTGCACTCCAGCCTGGGCAACAAAGTGAGACTCCTCTCAAAAAAAAGAAAAAAAAGTAATGGATACCACCAGATGGATACATTCATTATCTTGATTTTGGGAATGATTTCACGTAACAAATTATTGAAATACTTCACATTATACGTTATAAATATATGTAGTTGGCCGGGCGTGGTGGCTCACGCCTATAATCCCGGCCCTTTGGGAGGCTGAGGCGGGCGGATCACAAGGTCAGGAGATTGAGATCATCCTGGCCAACACCATGAAATCCTTTCTTTTTTAAAAATACAATTTGGCGGGGCTGGGGGGCGGGGGCTTGTAGCCCAGCCTCTTGGGAGGCTGAGGCAGGAGAATCGCTTGGAAGCTGCAGTGAGCTGAGATTGCACCACTGCACTCCAGCCTGGGCGACAGAGCGAGACTCCATCTCAAAAAATAAAAATAAAAATAAAAAAATAAATAAATGTAGTTGATTATGTCAGTTATACCTCAATAAAATGATTACAGAAGTTTCCTAGGAGGTGGCACTACCAGCGGGCTCTGCCCCAGCTTGTGAGCTCCTGAGAATCTGGGTCTGTCCCTCGTAGTCAGGTGGGTGGGCTTAGCAGTTAGGACTGACTTCATTTCCTTCCACTGTCCGCACACATGGCACTTGTCCTTCAAACATGCCCAGCCACTTCCTTCCTCTACCCCCAGGTCTTCAAGGGATTAGAGTCTCCTTATTGTTCAGGTTTTAGCACGAATGTCAAGGGCCTGCACTGAGCACCACATCTAAATTAGTTCCTACTCCTCACCCTGTCCCAAAATCACTTTCTGTATTTCCCTGGTTTGTTTTCTTCACTGTACGTATCAGAATTAGACATTCTTTTTATTTATTCTTTGATTTTTTTTGAGACGGAGTCTCGCTCTGTTGCCCAGGCTGGAGTGCAGTGGTGCGATCTCGGCCAACTGCAACCACTGCCTCCTGGGTTCAAGTGATTCTCCTGCCTCAGCCTCCCAAGCAGTGGGGGTTACAGGCATGCACCACCACGCCTGGCTAGTTTTGTATTTTGAGAAGAGATGGGGTTTCTCCATGTTGGTCAGGCTGGTCTCGAACTCCTGACCTCAGGTGATCCACCTGCCTCGGCCTCCCACGGTGCTGGGATTACAGGTGTGAGCCACCGCACCTGGCCTGAATATTCTTATTGATTTAGTCATTCCTTTTTTTTTTTTTTTTGAGATGGAGTTTCGCTCTTGTTGCCCAGGTTGGAGTGCAGTGGCACAATCTTCGCTCACTGTAACCTCTGCCTCCTGAGTTCAAGCAATTATCCTGCCTCAGCCTCCTGAGTAGCTGGGATTACAGGCACCTGCCACCACGCCTGGCTAATTTTTTTCTATTTTTAATAAACATGGAGTTTCACCATGTTGGTCAGGCTGTTCTCGAGCTTCTGACTTCAGGTGATCCACCCACCTTCCCCTCCCAAAGTGCTGGGATTTACAGGCGTGAAACACCATGCCTGGCCCTCTTTTTTTTTTTTAACACAAGGTCTCTATCGCCCATGCTGGAGTGCAGTGGCACAATCACTGCTCACTGCAGCTTTCACCTCCT